TTCCAACTGGGGAGGAAGGGCCCCTCGTCTCCGGGAGGCTCCTCACTTCTGTATCCCATTCCTCTGTAAAGTTAAAGAGGAAAACAGCCACAAGCTACCTTATCCTGGTGCTCAGGGTGTGGTCCACTGACCAGAAGCACCAGCATCCCCAGGGAGCTCCTGAGACCTGCAGAATTATCAGCCCCGCCCCAGTTGGAAACCACAGGTGAGCAACATTCCCAGGTAATTCACATGCCTGTGAAGCTGCACTGAACGGAGTCAATGTGTCCAAGATGCTGATGCCACCTGTGACCACATCGGCTCTATATACGCACAATCTTAATCCTATGAGAGGAAACATCATCCAAGATAATTAAATGTTCTGATTCACTGAGGACATCTTGGTCCTTCTTTGTCTCAATGACTATTTTAAAATTTTCTAAATTGTAGCGATCATTTATTTAGGTAAGCTCCTATTTTGATAATTAGGACTATCACTTTGAATGTGAGCACTGGGTTATAAATGGTCTATTAATATAATGGACCAGGGGTGGGCTGGTCTTTTCAGATAACACACATTTTGTTTGTGGGTATTATGGTCTCTGGTGCAACTACTCAGCTCTGCTGTTGTAGCACAAAAAGCAGCCAGGAAAACTTGGCAACCAAGGGGAACAGATGTGTGCCAATAAAACTTTATTTACAAGACCAGGCGGTAAGCTGGATTTGGCCCTGCTGCTGTAGCTTGCTTGGCGAGAGGTCATTAGGACCAGAGCGATGCTTGATGCATAGTGTAAATACTTATTAATTAAAACATAACAAGTAACATTGAACAGGGAGCAGATAAAAGCTATTATTAAGGACATTACCCAGCACAGGTTTGTAATTTTAAAATGAGTATTAATTTTTCATTGATCAGCTTATCATGGTTTAACTGATTTTACATTGTCTAAATTATTTTTGAATGACTCAGTCTCATTGAATGTACATTTTATGGTTCAGTAGTATTTCAAGAATTAAAACAAACAGAGGTTAAATGATTCATCCTGGGTCGACCCAGGTGGTTCTGAAATCCCTGGGGGCTGACAATTCTAACAGGTGACCCAGCAGCAGGGACAGTGTCAGTGTTTCCCTGGTGATTAGAGGCAGAACTCTGGAAACCCTGGTGGCAGTAGACGTGAGAAAAGTCAGTGATTCCTTTAGTTTCATTTCACTCATCACGAGACTTTGCATCAGCTCGGGAAAAAGTTTAACCTAAAACACACGTGTCCTTTGAAATCGCATTTTTGTGTTTTGTTCTGTATTTACAGTAAGTGGAACAAGGGCTTCAAACTCTCCAGCCGTTATTCTTAACTGCTTAAAAACTGGTTCCACCGCCTACCTTATAATCCAGCAGCTGGATAAAATTCAAGAATATCGAAGGATCAATCTGAAAAACAGGCCGCAGCCACATGTGTTGATGAGATCAACGATTAAGGGAACAAAAGCAAATTAGTTACCATACAGTTATGATTCTCCGAGTGGACACCTGCTCTAAGCTACTACGCTGGGAGCTCATGCTCAGGATCTTGTCCAGGAGACGGACACTGTGGCTGCCACACAAGGAGGAAATGAAATCAGGGACAGTCATTTGCGACGTGTCCTGGGGAAGCGGCTGGTGCGGGGGCTGCTGGGTAAACGCGGCCCATCACTCGGCATTTATTTCGCTGTGGGTCTTGACTGGTTTAGAGCCTCAGCCCGAGGTTCTCTATCCCGCATGTGCGCACACAAGCAAGGCTGAGAGCTGTGATTAATCACATGACCCTGCTGCTAATAGCTTAGGAAGAAATCATTTAAATTTAAGGTTCCATTAATGTTTTTTTAAATCCCCAATTCATTAGTTAAATTGTGTGAGATTTTCTACAAAGCACCAAGGAAATGAAAATATGCCGGGATAGCTCATCTGGGTGCAGCAAATGCCACACTTTTTAAAATGATCGCATCTACTGCTCTCCACTTAGGATGCAGAACAGAAAAGGCTGTTTAAAAATGATTTTCCTCCAGGACTGCTCCCAGCCCAGACTCTCAGCCAGCTCCTTGCTTTGGGAACGTTCACCATGAGCCATCAGTGGGGGTTAAAATGAGAAGGTGGTGGACCGCCAATCCAGTCAAAGTCTCCCCTATACTTTAATCCAAATGTCTATCATTTGAGAGTATTGTGGACAAAAGTTAAGCCAGTTGTTACAAATGATTATAAACAATTTTTTTTAAAAAAAGTCAGTCAAGGATATATCATCAAGATTAACTCACGGCAAATTTAGAGCTGGGATAGGAAACTTGAGATAGAAGCATCTATTCACCAAAACTGTCTAGGAAACCTGTGAAGCTTTGAGGATCCCCAGAGGCTGTCTGGGAGCGTGTCCCAGGAGGTCCCTTATCTCATTGCCCAGAGGAAGAACCAGGTGGGGCTCGTCAGGCCCCAGCACCCAGAACCCCTCTGAGTGCTGTAGACCCACCCTCACTGACTCTCTGCTCGTCCCCTGACAGGACGCGTGGGGAGAAGGCTCTTCCCCTTCATCTGGAATCTAACGAACAAAATAACCTGATGCATGAAATAGGCCCAGAGGCAGGATGGATGCTCAGGACAGACTGACGGATCCCACAGGGAAGGAGGGGTGGGGGGAGATTAACCTAAGAATTTATATGCATATGTGCATAACCCATGGACACAGGCAATAGTGTGGTGAAGGCCTGGGGCGGGGGTGGGGGGCAGGAGCCA